AGAAAAGAAAAGAAAAGAAAAGAAAAGAAAAGAAAAGAAAAGAAAAGAAAAGAAAAGAAAAGAAAAGAAAAGAAAAGAAAAGAAAAGAAAAGAAAGAGAGATGAAGGAAGGAAGGAAGGAGGGAGGGAGGGAAGGAGGGAGGGAGGGAGGGAAGGAGGGAGAGAGAAAGAGTGAGAGAGAAAGAGAGAGAGAAAGAGAGAGAGAAAGGAAGAAAGGAAGAAAGGAAGGAAGGAAGGAAGGAAGGAAGGAAGGAAGGAAGGAAGACAGGCATGGTGGCATACCTGTAGTCCCAGCTACTTGTAAGGCTGAGGCAAGAGGATTGCTTGAGCCCAAGAGAAGAGGCTGCAGTGAGCCGTGATCACGCCACTGCATTCCAGCCTGGATACGTGTGACATGCTGTCTCAGAAAAATAAAAAAGGTACTTGTGAGAGCCCAGTCAAATTTAAGACACTGACCAGGTAGTTGATTATATTAACAAGGTATTGATTACTTTTAGATCTGGTAATGATATTATGGTTATTTCTTTTAAGAGTTCTTATGAGATACTAAAGTTTTGTCTCTTCAGAATTTATCAGTGAAATGGTATGTTTAGGGTTGATCTCAAATTAATTGGAAAGATAGATGAAATAAGAACAGCTTGGTGGTTAGTACATTGAGGGTTGTACTTTTTATATCTGTGAAGTTTGAAATTTTCCATAATAAAAACCAGCACTTTGGGAGGCTGAGGAGGGAGGATCACTTGAGCTCAGGAGTTCAAGGCTGTAGTGAGCTATGATTGCACTGCTGTACACTAGCATGGGCAACAGAGGAAGATGAAGGGAAGGGAAGCGGAGGGGAGGGGAGGGGAGGGGAGAAAGGGAGGGGAGAAAGGGAAGGAAGAAAGGGAGGGAGTGGAGGGAGGGGAAGAAAGAGGCTGGGCTTGGTGGCTCACGCTGTAATCCCAGCACTTTGGGAGGCCCAGGCAGACAAATCACAAGGTCAAGAGATTGGACCAGCCTGGCCAGCATGGTGAAACCCCACCTCTACTAAAAATACAAAAATTAGCCAGGCATGGTGGCGCAAGCCTGTAGTCCCAGCTACTTGGGAGGCTGAGGCAGGAAAATTGCTTGAAAATGGGAGGTAGAGGTTGTAGTGAGCCGAGATCGCACAACCGCACTCCAGCCTGGTGATAGAGTGAGACGAGAGAGAAAGAGAGAGATGAGACAGACACGAGAGGGAGACAAGAGAGAGAGAGACGAGAGACAAGAGAGAGAGATGAGAGACGAGAGAGAGAGACGAGAGAGAGACGAGAGAGAGACGAGAGAGAGACGATAGACGAGACAAGAGAGACGAGAGAGAGAGACAGACAGACAGACAGACGAGGGGAAGGGGGAGGAGGGGGGAGCAGGGGGAAGAAGAGGAGGAGGGAGGGCGAGCAGGCGAGTTAGGTGCTGTGGCTCACTTGGGAGGCTGAGACAGGTGGATCACTTGCAGTCAGGAGTTCAAGATCAGCCGTGCCAACATGAGAAACCCAGTGTCTCCTAAAAATGCAAAAATTAGCCTTGTGTGTTGGCACACACCTGTAATCCCAGCTGCTCAGAGGCTGAGGCATGAGAATCACTTGAACCCAGGTCAAGGAGGTTGCAGTGAGCTGAGATCCTGCCACTGCTCTCCAGCCTGGGTGACAGAATGAGACTCTGTCTCATTAGTAAATAAATAAATCTAAAAAAGAAGAAGAGGGAAGAAGCAAACACTGCTCTGACTCTCCTCCCTTCTCCCTCCACATGCACACCTGCCTCAAGGGTGGTAGGGCTCTGTATGGTCTCTTTTTAGGGGTGAGCAGGGGGCAATTTGAGAACTGAGATGCTTCAGGTTACTTCCCAGGCAGGGTTTGTGTTCCCCCAGAAGGATGTTGACCTGAAAATTTAAAAAGACATGGCACCAGTCAGGGATTCCCGGGGTTTTGACCCCAATGCGGATACACGACGCCCTGGGAGG